TCATATGGTTTTTATCCTTTGTATTATTGATGTGATGTATCATGTTGATTGCTTTGCAAATATTGAACTACACTTGCATCTCAGAAATAAATCCTACTTGATGATGGTAAAGGATTTCTTTATGTATTGTTGGATTCAATTTGCTCATATTTTGTTACAGATCTTTGCATCTATGTTCATCAGAGATATTGACATGTAGTTATCTTTTTTTGTAGTCTTTTTATCTGATTTTGGTGTCAAGGTAATGCTGGCATCATAGAAAGAATTTGGAAGCTTTCTTTCCTCTTCTATTTTTTAGAATATTTTGAGAATAAGCATTAACTCTTCTTTAAATGTTAAGTAGAATTCACCTGTGAAGCCATCTGGTCCTAGACTTATGTTTGTTGGGAGTTTTTTGAGTATTGATTCAATTTCATTGCTTACACAGTCTTTACATTTTCTGTTTCTTCCTGAGTCATTTTTTGAGAAGTCTTATGTTTCTAGGAATTTATCCATTTCTTCTAGGTTGTCCAATTTGTTAGTATATAATTTTTCATAATACTCTCTGACTAATCCTTCGTATTTCTGTGGTTTTGATGGTTATTTCTCCTCTTTCGTTTCTGATTTTATTTGATCCTTTCTCTCTCAATTTTTGAACAGTCTGGGTAAATTTTATCAAATTTGTTGTTCTTTTCAAAGAACCAGCTCTGGGTTTCAGTGATTGGTTCTATTGTTTTTGTTGTTGTTGTTTCCATTTCATTTATTTCTGCTCTAATTTTTATTATTTACTTATACTGTTTTGGGGTTTTGTTCTTTTTCTTCTAACTGTTGAAGGTATAAGGTTCAGGAGTTTATTTGACATTTTCCTTGTTTCTTGAGGTAGACCTGTTTACCATAAACTTCCTTCCTAGAACAGCTTTTGCTGCATCCCAAAGATTTTGGACTGCTGTGTTTTCATTTTCATTTGTCTCCATGGATTTTTTGATTTCCACTTTGATTTCTTGGTTGACTCATTCATTGTATAGTACCATGTTATTTAACCTCCATGTGTTTGTGGTCTTTACATATTTTTTCTTGTGATTTCTAGTTTTTTAGTGTTGTGTTGGGAAAGATGCATAGTATGACTTCAGTATTTTGTTTTTGTTGTTGAGACTTGTTTTGTGGCCTAACATGTGATCTCTTCTGGAGAATGTTTCATGTACAATTGAAAGAATGTGTATCTGACTGTTTCAGGATGGGATGTTCTGAATATATCTGTTAGATTCATCTGTTCCAATGTGTCATTCAAAGCTATTGTTTCCATGTTGATTTTCTTTCTGGATGATGTATCCATTGATGTAAATGGGTGTTAAAATCCTTTACTATTATTGAATTACTATTGATTATTTCCTTTATGTTTGTCAATAGCTGTTTTATGTATTTTGTATGTATTATGTATGCTTTATGTATGTATGTAACATGGGTAATCCCATACTAGTTGCATAAATATTTACAACTGTTATATATTCTTGTTGGATTGTTCCCTTTATGATTAGGTAGTGTCCTTCTTTATGTCTTGTTACAGTGTTGCCTGATATAAATATTGCTATCCCAGTTTTTCTCATCTGCATGATGTTTTCCCATCCCTTCCCTTTCAATCTGCTTGTGTCTTTTGTTCTGAAATGAGTCTCTGCAGATAGCATATAGAAGTCTCCTTTTTTATCCATTCAGTTACCCTGATTGGAGCATTTAGTCCATTTACATTCAAAGTAATTATTGATAGGTAGGTACTTATTGACATTTTGTTACTTGTTCTGTGGTGTTACTATTCTCTGTCTCTTTCTTCTCTTGCTCTCTTCTTTTGTGGCTTGATGGCTTTCTTTTAGTGATACACTTGGATTCCTTTCCGTATATTTTTTGCATATCTATTACCAGTTTTTTTATTTGCAGTCACCATTAGGTTTATATATATATATATATGTATATATCTTACTCATGTGACAGCCTATATATTAGGGTGATGGTCTCTTAAGTTTGAACCCATTCTAAAAGCACTAAATTTTTACTCCCCTCTATGTTTTAGGTATATAATGTCATACTTTACATCCCTTTGTGAATCTCTTGAGTGATTTTTATAGATATGCTTGATTTTACTGCTTTGTGTTTTAACCTCCATACTGTTTTATAAGTGATTACTCTACTACTTTTATTATGTACCTGTGAAAAATTTTCCTTTCCTCCTTTTCTTACTCCTGCTTATGGTTTTTCTTTTCCAGTCAATCTCTTTTAATATTTCTAAATCTAATATCCCAAATCTCCTTTAATATTTTTTCTAACGCTGGTTTAGTGGTGATGAACTCCTTTCACTTTTGTTTATCTGAGGAATTCTTTATCTCTCATTTATTCTGAATGATAGCCTTGCTGCATAGAGTATGCTTGGTTTCAGTTTTTTGTCCTTGCAGCACTTTGAATATGTCGTGCCACTCCTTTCTAGCCTGCAAAGTTTCTGCTGAAATATCAGCTGGTAGCCTTACAGAGTTTCCCTCATATGTAACTATTTTCTTTTCTTTTGCTACTTTTACATTTTTCTCTTTATCAGTACTTTTCTGCCTTTTTAATTACTGCGTGTCTTGGCGTGGACCTCCTTGGGTTGATATTGTTGGGGGCTCTCTGTGCCTCATGAGTCTAGATTTGTTTCCCTCTCCAGATTCAGGAAGTTTCAGGCTATTATTTCTTCAAATAAATGTTACCCCTTTTCTCTCTCTTCTTATCTTATTCTCTCTGGATCCCTGTAATGTGAATGTTACTACACTGGATGGTGTTGCTGAGTTCCCTTAACCTATTCTCACATTTTTGTTAATCTTTTTTTCTTTCTCCTGTTTGGCTTGATTGGTTTCCATTACTGTCTTCCAGATCACTGATCCATACTTCTGCTTCCTCTAATCTACTATTTATTCCCTCTAGTGTATTTTTAATTTCACTTACTGAGTTCTTCATCTGTCACTGGTTCTTTTTTATATTTTCTCTCTTTTTTTTGAGGGTTTCACTGAGATCCTCCACTCTTTTCTCAAGTCCAGTGAGTATATTTATGATCATTACTTTAATGGTATATTGCTTACGTGTGTTTCATTTTTCTTTCTTGCTGGGATTTTATTCTGTTCTTTCATTCAGGACATATTCTGTGCCTTCATTTTGTCTAGCTCTCTGTGTCTGTTTCTGTGTTTAGGAAAGTAAGCTACATCTCCTGCTCTTGCAAGTAGTGGCCTTATGAAGAAAAGGTCTTGTAGTGCCTTGCAGTGCAATGTCCCTTTCAAGGGTATCTTCTATATGTGTTGCATGCACCTTATTATTGTGGCTGAGACACATTTGCTTCATTCCAGTTTTCTGAAATGGCTCTCTTTGCCTATTGAAGGCAGGGTTTGGTTCCTGTGTTAAGAGGCCCATTGTTGCTGCGTTGGGAAAAAAGCCTTAATTTTTAAAATTATTTTTGCCAGTGTTAAGGAAATATGCACGGATATGTAGGTATGTTTAGTTATACAAGAAGGGAGTTGAAAGGACATAAAATATATAGTCATAGTTAAATGATAAGATTAAAGTCATTTAACTCTCTACTGTAATGGACATGTATCACTTTTATAAGAAAAAATTAATGAAAATATGTGTGCACACACACTGTTTAATCTAAATTTATTCTTAGTGTGCTAGGAGAATGGTAATATGCTGAGTATAAATCAGTACTTCATTTCTGGAGGACAGTGTATAACATATACACTGTATCTTTGTGAGTGTGTATGTATAAGATATACTCTTTGGTTCTCTCAATTTAAATTTTAGGAGTTTATGTTAAGAAAATAATCAGATCCAGACTGCCTGGGTTTGAATCCCAGCTTCATCACTTATAACTTTGTGACCCTGGGTAAGTTACTTAACCTCACTGTGCCCTAGTTTCCTCTTCCATAAATTGATGATAACAGTAATCTACCACATAAAATTATTATGAAGACTAAAAGAGTTAATACATGCAAAATGCTTAAAACTAGGTCTAACACATAGACAACGAATAAATATTAGTAGGAGCTGTCATCAGCATTGTTATCATTACACATACACATGTAGATACTACTCTAATGATGTTTATGTCAGTATTATTTACAACAAAAAAACATTCTTTATGTAACACACATATAATCCAGAAAAAAGTACATATATGTCATTTCATCATGTATTTATATAACCATGAATTTGTATGTGTATATGTGTATATATATTCATAAAAATACATACATATGTACATAAAAATGGAAAGAGATGCAGCAAAAAGTATTTTTTTCTAGGTTGTATAGGTATAGGTGGTATATTTGCATTTTCCTGTAGAGCTAACGTGTCTTATTATTATTATTATTAAAAATTTGTAAAACATTATGCACAAAAACATTCCATAATTCAAAAAATTAAAATGTTAGAAATAACCTAATTGGTCAATAATAAGAAGTTTGGATAAAAAGTTGTCATATCTATAAGGAGGAATTCATATAGCCATTAAAAATTAAGATTACTGCCATGGAAAATGCACAGTTTTTATTTTGCTCATTTGTTTAAAGGAAATACACTAAATAGCAATAGAGGTTCTCTCTAGGGGTTCAAATTATACTATTTTTAATTTCCTTCTTTGTATCATCCAAATTTCCAGAAGTAAACATAATTCTTGAATAATTGTACTCTTTTTAATAAACTAAAATATATTAGGAAGTCACACAGCTTGGTTCTAGACCTAATTGTGTCTTTAGTGGTTTTACTTACTTTTTCTCTCCAACCATCTGTTTCTTCATCTATAAAACCAGTTTGCTTAAGTAATTTATAAATTTCCCTCCCAAATCTCTGATCCCTCTGAAATCTTATCATTAACATATTTAGTTTTACCTTTTTGATATTTACTATTTTGATTTAAAGAGTAAGACTTAATGTATCTGATTAATTTTTCTGTATTTCTTACTTGTAGTAACGCCATAGTCTTTAGAATCTATTTTTGGTTATTTCTGCAGTTCATGTTCTTTGGTGGAATGAGAGTGCAGACAGTCGTGCAGCTGGGAGACACCAATCTCATGAGGATCCCAGAGTTGTAGCAGCTGGTAAGCTATTTCACCAGCTCTGAATTATTTGTACAACAAATTTGATTCACTTTTTAACTTTATAACTTTCTAACATTATAAAATGTTTTTTTCCAGTTCGGGAAAGTGTTAACTTCCTTGAGTCTCAGCAAAATATGCTTCTGATTCCTATGTCATTTTCACCTTTGAAATAGTTTTTCACTGAAAGACGAAGCATTGCATTAACTGCTATAAGTTTTGTCTGCTAATGGTGCTTAAATTCTCCCAAGAGATTCTCATTTTTATTTGAAGGAGGTGGTAAGTTAATTTGCTATGCCCTCTGCATTTTTAAAAGCTACTTCTGTCCATTGTCATCACCTTTTGAGGAAATAGTTCTGTTCATTTTCCCTTTGGCATTTCAGTATCTGTCATACATTAAAAATAGCTGTCATTCCTATAAGATCTTGAGTTTTCATTTATTTCAGAATCTCTCTTGTTCTATATGTTTACAATAGCATTTCCTTTTATAGCATTTCCCTATATTGAAATGATTATGTTACATTTCCATGCCTATGATCATATTTTTAAATTATTTATATATATTAATAACTTTTTCATGTCTATTTTGCTGAAATTTTAAAAAGTTTTGTCCAGTAAAATTTATTTTGTAATACCAAATGGGATTCATAAAAATATTAAACCTGTTTATTATGGAAAAGTATAATATCTATATCATCTCTATTCATTTTGGGCTTTACATTAATAATTAATTATATATGTAGAAAATAATGTTATTAGGTCCTCATTAAAATTTTTTGAAGACTCATTGGTTTATATGCTGAAAATATCTTCATTTACAATTTATTTTACTAACTCTTACTTCATTTTGAATCACAATGTAACAAAGATACTTGGGGCATCTATTTGTGATAATGAGATATTTATGTTTATGGAAATGTTTGCCCTAATAAAAGCCTACAGATACATTCTGATTGTTTTTTTATCATGATTTATATTTTTATCCTCTTATCTGGAGTTACTGTGCTGCTATAAGGTAATAAGACAGCAATAAATATACTTAAATATTATGTTACCTCAAGTAAATAGCATGCTAATAGCTCTACAAGGACAATTTCCTTAGTACTGTCACAGATATACTAGGGTTTTCTTACAATGTTAATTTTTATTTTACTTGAGTCCTTCAGCCTTCTCAAACTAGACTTGGTATTTCCAAACTCTTCTGGTAGTCTATATTTACGGCTATATGAATTTATGTATCTAACATATATTGCAAATAGAACACAGCAAATTATTAGCTGTTGGAGGGAAAACTAAAAAGCAGGAAGCATACCCACCTCTCATTTACCTGGTCCTCAAGGATTCAAAGGACAGATAAGTTTCCTGGTAAGTCAACACCCTAACTCTGAAGGTTAAAACCTATCAGAAAAGTTAGAGGCATTGGTTTTCAGTTTTAACCAAGAGTCTTCTACCCCAATGTTTCTTTGAAAAGTCTAGGAAATTAGGTGATAATAATGTTAGTTGTAGTCAGTGTAGACAGATTTTTCTCTGTGGCATGAGATCAGCTCTGTGTCATGAAAATATATAACTGCGTCTGCCTTTCCCTTTTTCGTTCATTTAGATTAGCCAGAACACTTTTAGAAAAGACAAGGGCTCTTTCATCCAATCCATAGCCCTGATGGAGATTTAGAAAGCAGCAGCAGACAGATGTTCTTACCATATCCCATGCAGAATTGGAGAACCAATACATGACAGGTTACACTCTGCTAATGAACTATAGGAGCATCACTTTGCTGACCCCCTCCTGGATCAGGAACACAACAAAGCTGGCTGAGACGAAGAACATTTCAAAGATAACATAGATGGACACAAGGATGTCCGCTGACATGCTCTTCCTGGAAAGAGAAAGTCACTGAGAATCTGAGGAGTCAAGGATGCAGTTGAAGACATAATTAAGGAGGACACACACACACACACACACACAAACATACACACACATACAAACATCTGGTGAATAGCCCAGGGAAAATATCTGTTCAATAAATAAAACACATTTCTTTTATTCAGAGTCTAAGCATGATTATTTTCAAGTCAAAAATCTGAAAAACAAACGCAAAACATGTCACTGAGTTCAAAAGAGTCTAGTACCCAGGCACCTGGGTGGCTCAGTTGGTTAAGTGTCCAACTTTGGCTCAGGTCATGATCTCACGGTTAGTGGGTTCAAGTCCCATGTCGGGCTCCGTGCTGACAGCTTAGAGCCTGGAGCCTGCTTCAGATTCTGTGTCTCCCTCTCTCTCTGCCCCTCCCCGACTCATACTCGGTTTCTCTCTCTCTCTCTCTCAAAAATAAATAAAACATTAAAATATTTTTTTAATAAAAAAAAAGAGTCTAGTGGGGCGCCTGGGTGGCTTAGTCGGTTAAGCGTCCGACTTTCGCTTAGGTCATGATCTCGCGGTTTGTGGGTTCGAGCCCCGCGTCGGGCTCTGTGCTGACTGCCAGCTCAGAGCCTGGAGCTTGTTTCACAGTCTGTGTCTCCCTCTCTCTCTGACCCTCCCCTGTTCACGCTGTCTCTCTCTCTCTCCTAGAAATAAATAAAAATATTAAAAAAAAAAAAGAGTCTAGTATCATAATGAAACTATTGAAAGAGGTCTGAGAATGGCCTAATGGCATTTGCTTTGGTCCACTGTTGTTGACCTTATAAGAGCAAAGATATGTGCCTTGAAAACTTAGTAAGTATAGAAAATATTAGTGTGAAACTACTCAAATAAGTTAAATTAATCCAGCTTTAAGTGTAAAAGCAACAGTATACAGCATATCAATCTAATAGATACAGAAATTCTAAAAACAAAAAGAAAGAAATTCTAAGATTCTAATCATAAGAATGGTCCTATAAGCCCATTATACAGGGTCTCGTATAAAATTCCTAATGACTTATATTAATACCCTGTAGGAGTTAAGAGAAAGAATAACTGCCATGCTCCATATATAGGATCTACACTCTCAAGTATTAAATATACACTGAGTAGCTCATTCTTGACTGGGACAAGATAATTAAATACCACTGATGGTTTTAAAGGCAAAAGTCTTTTTTTTTTTTTACAAATAGTTTATTGACAAATTAGTTTCCACATAACACCCAGTGCTCACCCCCACAAGTGTCCTTCTCCATGCCCATTCCCCCTCCCCCCTACATCCATAAGTCCTCAGTTTTTGTCAGCATTCAAGAGTCTCTCATGGTTTGTAAAGGCAAAAGTCTTAAACAATAAGCTGCTAGGTGACCTGATTGACCTATCAATGACTCCCATGTACCTGCAACTCTGGGCCAACTTTTCTGAAAAAAAATCTTGGGATGAATAAAATACCTTGGCCAGCTTCAATTGTTTCTTCACTAGCTTAATGGAATCCTTTGACTCAGAGGAGGTGATTGAAAATTATTGGCGCCCAGGGAAAACTCACCATACCTAAACAACAGCCTGACAGAAAAACATAGACAGTATGAAACACAATAATACTCAGCTACAGATACCACATGAGTATGTACATGTGGTATGAGATCTTTATTTAGATATTTAGATATTTCCTCTTCAAAAGAATTCAGATTTAGACTTTGTGAAAATTACATCTCAGCCAGTTATAATGGATTCTGGCACTCTTTTGACTCTATGGTCCCTGCCCAGGGTGGCTGATAGAGCTACAGTATGAAAGGGAAGGGACATTGACATGATTATAGGCTGACATGTGAGATATTGAGCAAAGAATGGCTATTTATCTCACAGATGCTCCTCTAAACATGGTGACTCAGGCCTGAACCTGGTTCTCAAGGCAAGCAGATGGGGAGTCAAAAGGAACAGTGTCACAGACTTTGAGTCAGGAGTTCTCTCTTGTCCAGCAAGAGAGTAGACACAGAATTGAATATGAGAGAGGCTAATGTACAGGAGGAGACAAGAGCCCTGAACACGGGTTTTGTCTCTGTATTTATTGAGCTCTCAAGGTTTTATATATGTAGTGAATGTGCAGAAGTAAACAATAAACTAGTGCCCATTAACTTGTGTGTGTAAGATGCAAAGGGTTTGGAGAGTGAGTGGTGTGAGAAGTTGAGATTAAAGCATGATGACATATTGGTGCCATACGCCAGATGGACAGTGTTTCTCTGTGGGTGATACAGCCAAGAAGCTGTTATCGCCAAAGTTTAAGATTGCTGGAGCATGTTGCCTCAAGGCTAACAAGGCTCCCTTTTCACTAACTAACCTTGGGCGCTTTCACTCTGTAGTGGCTTTCCACCTCCAACTGTTCTCAGACACTTTCATCCTGTGGAGGCAACTTTCTGCCATAAGCCTTGATTTACTTAAGGACTAATCGTGGGCACTTTCACCCTCTGGCAGCTTTCTGCCCTAAGCCTTGTTACCCATTGGTGTAAACCTACAGAATTCTTAACTTATTTCCCAGAGAACAGTGAGGGACACTGACTAGAGCAGGCTAGGGAGGGCTGATAGACCAGCCATGGCTCCTTCCTAGCATGGAAGCTACTCTGGGGTCCCATTTGCACTGTTCAGAGTTCTGTGGGTACTGGATCTCGGGGAAAAGGCAAAAGAGTAAAAGAAGCAGTGACATAGCTAGGTTTTGAGGCAGCTAAATAAGGTAAATCATTTTCCAGGAAATGAATGGGAATGGACTTCAAGGATTCTTCTTTTTCTTCTCAACTCCCACATGATCCTTCAAAACTCAGAGGGACAAATCGCTTGAAAAACAAGGAAATAGGTGGTTTTAATACCATTTCTTCAATCCACATCAGTCTTGGGTCCATGTAAAAAGTGAAAACTAAAAACTATTCTATGGTACATACCATGCTCTGAGAATCTGATTTGGGATAAAAGTGTCACGAGAGTATGAGAATCATACTTTGAATTAAATCAATTTAAAGTCTGCCTTATTTAACAACACGGGTGAACTAGAAATTGAAAGTAAACAAAGTACATGTGTCTTAATGGACCACAATTGGGACAAAAGATAAAAATGGATAACAATGATACCTGTCCCTCAAATAGATCAGTATGGCCAGACCCTCCCCATAGGGCCCAGATACTGCCATCATCCAAACAACAAGACCTGGTCCATTCTGCCCTCAGCATTGGCCATGCCCTTCTACCAAGCCAAGATGTTCCCAGGAAATTATTCTCAACTGCTAAACAATAGACAGTAGAATATGATTCTTTATAGTCACAAAAGTGTTCAGGGAGCAGTATCACTGACTATGCCCAGCAAATTCTTTTGTTCACTGGAGTTATACTGATGAACAAATTAGCTGTGGTTTTAGGAAGAAGCAACCAGGACATCTTTAAGTTCTCACACCCATTTAAATGTGCTTGTCCTCACCCTGCAACTTGGATGCTGACACAGCAACAGAGGGAGATCACAAGCAAGCCTCTTTCTGAAACTGTTCTCAGAAAAAAGGCTCAGGACTGCTGCCTACATTCAGTCTCAGAGAAGGTCAGTTTTAAGACACACAGAAGCTTCATGGGCCAGCCTCCCTAATTCAGAGGTGGATTCTCCTCAGTGGGAGAAGCCAGAGTTTGTCTTCCACAGCCCACTGATCCCTAGTGTTGGGTTCTGGTTTTAACTCAAACAAGTGAGCACACTAGGCTGCCTTTTCTCAAACTAGAGAAACAAGCTAAGCTAAGATAGAAGCTTATGGACCAGCGCCTTCCCCTCAAAACTCACATGCTTTTCCCCATACAATTAAGATCCAGCCTGAAAGACAACGCCCTGACATGATATGCCATCCATTCCTTCTTCCTAACAGAAGTGCCCCAGCCCACCCTGCACTGCCATCTGCTCATCACACGGAGACTGACTCACTTGTGGAGGAGGCAGCCCCCCTGCCCCCAGGGGACACACAGGCAGCATCTTCTTGATTTTGTCGCTGCTACACTGGCAGGAGGGTGACGGGTTCTCCATCGTCCAGTTCCCA